CTCACTTGAATTCCTACGAGAGCGAGAGACAGCCACCCAGGTACTCCTGACCTCAGCCCAACAACTGCAGCTGAAAGATGTTTACATATATCTGCAGAAAGTGCACAGGAAAGCTGAAAGTCAGTATGAGAGGGGAGTACAGAACTGACAGTTTCTACACACATGCAGTTTGTTGCATCTTCCCTATATGAGAATATATTAAGCTTATGATGACGGACTTTAAAAATATTAGGTTCCAGGGACAGGTGACACTGAACATAGTCCACAACCTTTCATTGTTCAGTTCAAACTCCAGTTCAGCTCGCAGGCAAAACGAGATTCATGGTTTAGCCCTTAATTCCTGAAGCCTGGATACATTTTTTCAAAGTGGTGCAATTGCATAACACAAACAAGATGACTGCCAGAAACTGTGACTGAAACTTCTCCAGTGTCTGATTGACTCTACTTGTATTATCAGGCCCTAGCTTGACATGTGCCTGAATTGCTGAATGCCAGATGAGAGGGAAGGTGTCAGGGATAATGCAAATATTTTTATTAAGCTGTTGAAGTGTTTTTGACACAACAACAGTAACATCATACCTTTAAAAATGCCACACTAAAAATTATTGTAAAGTTTATCTATCACACAAGACGCATTCAGTAACAGGAATATCTTTATATATATAAATTCTGAGGTTCATCTTTATTTGCAACAGAGACTCAATAAACAAAAGGAAGACATGTAATTCCTGTGAGCACACCGATAATTGGACAAGTCTGGGAACAATTGTTAGGCCAGCTGCAAAGATGTGAATTTAAAAAATAATTTCTATTGCCAAACAGGGAGCTTGCCTTCTCTTTGAACTCCAGGGGAAATGAGGATAAACTAGTTATTATAAAAGATGATCATTTAGTATCATCATAGCACTTTCTAAAAATCTAACCAACAAGCCAAAACATGAGCTAAAGCTAGTTATTTACTTCCCAAAATATAACTATGTTTAGCTCCAAACAAATACTTTCACATACAGGGCTGAAAAAAGATCAGAAGGTATAGCAGCTATTTTGAAACCTTCATTTCCATCAAACATCTTAGTTTATTTATATATACCCCTCTTTCCTTGAAGTAGTGCCCACACAAGCAGCATTTCCCACTTTGGAGAATAACCATTAATTTCACACCACAATGTTTTTTCTAGAATATAATTACACAGAAGACAAGTATTCTTTATTAAAATATCTGAAGGCATGTTAGGTAGTTATGACTGGTAGTTATTCAGGAGCATAGGTTTTTTTATTTTCTTTTTTTTTCTTTCCCTTTTCTTTCCTTGTTTGCCAGCTAATAAGAGCTTTGGAGACATAAAGGAGTGACTTGATCCCAATGCATTTTAACACTGTAGTAAATAACGCAGTGAGGTATGGAATAATTAGGTTGAAATTGTTCTGTGCAAGACAACTATTCTAACATATGCCTGACATGAACAAATGCATTCTGCCAGGGCCTGGTACATTGTGAATGAATTGTGACATTTTCTTATGATTAATTCTTTTAAAATAATCACTAACTTCTTCCTTCAACTTGTAGTTTATAGAGTAACTGGGATGTACATTTTACAAATAGTTGAAGCTCCTAGTATCCCACAGTTTGGAAAATGAATGATTCTTACAGACATTGCCATGTCCAGATCCAAAAGCCTATGTCAAAACAAAATACAACTGAATCTGTTCCTAATGTTCTTCCTGTTGCTTTCTTCCTGCTTCTGCTTTCATCCTACAACTCATGTTTTTCTCTTCTTTTGCCTCTTCTGATCATACACTCAATATAACATGCCATGTACAACTTCAGTGTAATATTCTAACATGCAAAAGACATGTCAGCACAGCCTCTGAATCAGAAGTTGTGAGTACACTGTGAAGTTTAAACTACAAAACATTGTCTTAGCATGACATTTCTCTTGTGATTGAAGCATTCTGCTGATAAAAAGTCATAGAAAGAACACAGGCACATAAAACAATTCAATGCAGGTAGGAGTCAACACACAGCAGAAAGCTACATATGACAAGAGAAAAGAGATAGGAAAGAGTAGAGAGAGAAAAGGATGTGTTAAAGGATGGAAGCTGGAGGGATGGGGGTGAATGAATGCACACATATAAAGAAGGGAGAGGTAATTTTATACCAGTTCTTTCTTGCTGGTTCACAGAAATCATTAAACTGCCTGCTAATTACAAAGTGACTACCTCCAGTTTCCAGGAAGGAGAAAATAGCTCAAGTATTTTATGGAAACAAATCTCCAAAATCCTTCACTTTCTGAAGTGCCAAGCTTCTCTGTTTCTCTTGTGATGGATACTTACAAAATCCGAGGTTGCCACATTCTATTACCTAAATGTACAAATACCTAGCTTTGGAAATAAATGCAGACAATGAATAGGAAATTTGATATGGGCAGGAAAGGTAAGAAATGTGTTGGATCTTCAGCACTTGAAAACAAACCCATGTCAAGTGGTAGGGCCAAAAGTACAACCCAGTATGCAAACATCATACCAGTGTTAACAAAAAATGGAGATTAAGAGATGCAGCTAGCAATAGAAATTTTATGAAGAAAATTGGATTTTTGATGAAAAGACCACTTTCACAGAGATTTATCTTCCTTAGAAATTGTGATGTCCTACTGCTTGCTATGTCTCTGGAAAGGACACCCCTTCTTTGAGAAATTTCCCTTTGAATCCCAGTATGTGGGAAAGGCAGTGGCCTACGATAGAACTTACCACTCAGTCCTGGTTACTAAACACTTAAAATTCCCTGCTCTCAATTTTTAATACTCTTAAGATCTGCCTTAATATGAATCCAGGGATGTGACAAATTCTACATCCTCATTTTGATGTTTCTGCTCAAGAAATCTGAGACTGCCTGTCCCTGAGATGACTACCTCAAATCAAAACTGATAACCTGAAAGAGGGTGAGAATATCAAGAGAATAACAGAGCTCAGATCCACAGAACTCAGAGTTTTTACTAGACAGGACAAGTTGTATCACAAGCATACTGCTTGTGAAAGCCCAAATTTATCTCAAGCAATGACAGGCTGCTAAAAACAAATAAAGAAAGAGAGGAAGCATGAAATGACAAGATAAAGGACTTAATAAACACATTAACATCAGGGTGAAATTTTTCAAAGTGAATCCTTACTTTTAATAATAAAGCCTATCCCTAAATGCATTCTTCATCACAGCACAACAATATGTACTTTTTGTCTGTGTGTGTGCATGGGTGTTGAAGATTAGAGACTGGGACCGGGGAGGAGGTTCAAATAGATGCAGGGCACTTGCAAGCAAATCAAAATTGTCTCCAAAGAGGCACTTCCTGCTGGTGACTAAGCCTTCACCCAAACAGTCAAGAGGAAGGGGCATAAGTAAAGCATTGCAAACGACCATCCCGATTGTATCAGAGTGGAGACAACTAGGACAAACAAACTCAGGAAGTGGCAGGGAGTTAGAAACTGAGAGGAAATCTATGGCACAGAGAGGAAAGTGAAGAGATTGCACCGATCTGCAGAAAGGTCACCTCTGGGTCGCACTGTGCCAAGCTTTTTCAAACCCACTTTATTTGGACTATAATACAAAACTGGCACACACAGCTGGCGACTGCTGCAGAGGCTATTCAAATGTTAACATTCTCAATGATAAACAGCCAAAAAAAAGTTCTGTGTAAGCAAATTGGAACAAACAACTAATCTAAATCTGGTTGCTAAGAGACTGAGGATTTCAGCCAAAACCAGCCCAATGCCTCAAGAATACTTTATTTTTGATCAAAAAAAGTACCTGTAGATGACTCCATGTTGGTGAAGAAACATGAGTGCTGATGTGACCTCTGCAGCATAAAAGCGGGATCGAGGTTCATCAAATTTGCGTGAGCGCTGGATTTGAAACATTAGGTCTCCTCCATTTACATATTCCATGACGAAAAAGAGGCGGTCCTGAAATTAATTAAACAGTGCTATTTAGCTAATTTCTCTTAGTCACACAAAGGACTGCTTGAAGCTACACTTTAGGTGACTAGAACATTTACGTCAAGAAATAAAAAAAACAAATGCTAGAATTCCAAAAAAGGAAAAGGTGACAACCAAAATCCCCCAAACCTAAAGAATATGAGACAAGAGTCTCAAAGTGAGAAAACGGCAATCAAAATGTAGCAATAAGCAACCCACACACAAAACTCCACACATCAACAAATACATATGGAATTATAATCAATTTTATATAAAAGCAGAGATACATAAACGATGCTGCTTCTTTTATAATTTAGCCATAACTATGAAAAGATAAAATAAATTCTGTCGAGTACTGACAGTCTTCTTATTTCTTCACTTCTCTCTTACCAGCTACTATGTCTGCAAAGCATCTTTCTCAAATTATGTAAAAATCGTTTAGAAATGTTAAGTTACAGAAACCAGTGCTGTCAAACTCAAACACTTATAAATGGTTTTTTGAATTGCCTCAAACTCTCACAAAACAATGAAATAGAATTACATTAATAAAGTACATATCAGGTTCTTTTTATTTTCTTCTGATGCTTATCACTTCCAAGTTCAAGCCTTCCAACTTATTTCCATGGAAGAGGTCTAGAAACGAACTTTACTTGAGAATAGCAATCAAGCTAAACGTGTGCTTGAACCATTTATTATCTAAACTGGCAATGCAGATGAAGACATAAGCAAAGAGATGACACACACTCATTTGACATAATTTAGATTCTATTTTTTTTAAGTTTTCTTTTAAATTTTCATATTTTTCCCTAACCTGTACTAATAGCCCTAAATCATCAACTCTTTGCCCATTTACCCGTGGTTTGAAGCCTACTTCACATTTTTTATTTCCTTA